GTCCCTGTAAACGCGGGGGGCGCTTTTGGCGGCGATCGTCCCCCAGACTCGCCTTTCGATGTCTGGTCTTTCACTGCCCCTCACTCGCTCCCGCGGTCATTCGCAGACCCCCGAAGTCGCACGTCCCCAGAACTGGACACCCTCGTGACCCCTGCCTGTGCTCATACCGAGCCCTGCGTCGACAGATGCGTGGAGTGCCAACTCGGGACCCGGTGATTCGAGTAGGTCGCCTCGTTGCTCCAAATAATGACACGCTGCAAGGAGATGCCTTTCTAGAACTAAATTTTGGGTCTAGTTTCTGCAGTCTTTTGGATGACACCAACTCCCCCCAAACAAAAACACACTCAGTTCTTGTCTGGTAGATCCGCACAGACATTAAAAATGTTTTCCTGCAAGAGTCAACCTTTCTCTTGGCCAACTCCTTGGAAGCTGGCATAAAATCTTGGATGATTACCATAATGTTGAGTTATGTTTTTAAAAAATCATTATTATGAGGAATAAATGTCACATGAACCAAAAGAAAAATTGCCAGCAATATATATAAAATATCAAAGACTAAGGTGAATAAGTGAATGGTACTTTCCAGTTGTTTATACACCTTTAGGTGTCTGGCATTTCATTCTGAATTCTTATGTATTAATTATTATATCTGAAGTCTATGTTTAATTAGTCCAAGGAAATGCAACAAATCCCATAAAAATCGTAAAAATGCCATTTATAAGTGATACATCAGAATGTTTCTTCTAATTAAATTCCTTTCTTCCTTAAACTATTTGAGCACTTATTGGTCAATGCTTGGGCCTCATCATAGTTTTTCCTAAAAACAGCATTTGACACAATTGATCATTCTCTGCTCCTTTGAACAACAGAGGTGAGCCTTGGTAAATGCCAATTGGATCAGACTGCTCCCTTGTTCAAAACTCTTTCTTGATTGACATTGTAGGGTAGGTTGGTGCTTGGTGGCTCAGCCTGTAATCCCAGCACTTTGGGAGGTGGAGGCGAGTGGATTGACTGAGCCCCTGGGTTCGAGATCAGCCGGGGAAACTTAGTGAGACCAAAAGTTAGCTGGATGTGGTAGCCACGCTTGTAGTTTTGGCTATTTGGAAGGCTGAAGTGGAAGGATCGCAGGAGCCCAGCAGGTCGACACTGGGGTGGCCATGAGTGTGCCACTGCACTCCAGCCTGGGCAACGGAGTGAGACTCCAATTAAAAAAAAGTGTAGGGTATATAAAATAAATATTATTCAGCTATAAAAATGAATGAAGTACTGATAAATGCTGTATGAATGAACCTTCAAAACATTATGCTAAGTGAAAGAAGATAGGCACAAAGATTACATATTATATGCTTTTGTTTAGATGAAATATCCAGAGTAGACAAATCTATACAGACAGAAAGTAGATTGGTGGCTATCTAGGTCGGGGGGAATGAGGAACCTGGGGGTGATAGCTAAGGGTTATGGGGTGACAAAATAGTTCTAAAATTAGTTTTGAGTGATTATTGCACAACTCTGTGGATATACTAAAAGTCATTTGATTGTACACTTTAGAAGAGTGAATTGTGTAGTATGTGAAGTTTATCTCATTAAAATTATTTTTTAAAAAGACATGACAACTAAATGCAATGTATAATTCTTTTTTAGGGAGTCGGAGTCTTACTCTGTCATCCAGGCTGGAATGCAGTTGCATGTTCACAGCTACCGCAGCCTTGATCTACTGGGCTCAGGCAATGCTTCCAACTCAGTCTTCCAAGGAGCTGGAACTACAGGTGTGCCCCACTACACCCGGCTAATTTTTTGATTTATTTTAAAGATGAAGTCTCACCAAGTTGCCCAGGCTGTTCTCAAACTCCTGGGCTCAGGCAATCCTCTCACCTTGGCCTCCCAAATTGCTGAGATTATAGGCGTTTGCCGTCCAGCCTGGCTAAATGCAATGCATGATTCTTGATTGGATCCTAAATGGAGGCTAGGGGAAGCTATAAAATGATATTATAAAGCTTTTTTTAAACCTAAAGATGGACTTTCTTAATGCATTTTTAGTAGCTTCAAATAATCATTATTAATATTATATATGCTTTACAATTTGATTTTGCCTCTTGTGCAAGTTAATTTTTAAATGGTTCTAAAAATGTGAATACTTTGTTTTTTTGAGTTGGAGTCTCACTCTGTTGCCCAGGCTGGAGTACAGTGGCACGCTCACGGCCACCCCAGCATCGCCCTCCTGGGCTCTGGTGATCCTTCCGACTCAGCCATCCAAGTAACCAGAACTACAGGCGTGTGCTACCACACCTGGCTAATTTTTTTATTTTATTGTAGAAACGAGTTCTCACCAAGTTGCCAGGCTGGTCTTGAACCCATGGGCTCAGGCAATCCACTCGCCTTGGCCTCCCAAAGTGTTGGGATTACAGGCTGAGCCACCAAGCCCGGCCAATACTTTTTTAAAAAGGACATTCCTGGGACTATTGTAAAAACCTAAATATGGGCTGTATATTAATATCATTGTATTAAAATGAAAACAAATACTCCTCCTTTGGGTCCCCATTTCACTTAGAATAAAAGTTCTCACAAATGGTCTAAGACTCTATGTAAATCTTTTCTCCCTTCCTTACCACCCCAATCTGGTCTCCGACTCCCCCTCTTGCCCACTTCAAGTTGCACTGGCCTCCTCACTCTTCTAGAACAAGCTGGGCACGGTCCTACCTCAGTACCCATGCACTAGCTGTTTCCTCCCTCTCTGAGTTCATTTTGTGTTACAGAATACCACTGGGTAGCTATAAACAACAGAAGTTTATTTGGTTCACAGTTCGGGAGCTGGGAAGCCCAAGATCAAGGGGCTGCATCTGGTGAGGCCCTTCTGGCTTCCTCATAACATGGCAGAAGGCATTACATAGTGAGAGCGAGCACGTGAGAGAGGGAGGGTAGAAGGGAGCTGAGCTCATCCTTTTTATCAGGAACCAGATAACAAACTCCCATAGTGGCATTAATTCATTTATGAGGACAGAGCCTTGTTAAAAGAAAAACTTTAGGCAAATTAAATTTAACAGAGTTTAACTGAGCAAAGGACTGCATGAGAACCAGAATAGATTCAGAGAGACTCTGAGGCTGTCATGGGGTCCAATAATGCTATGGACAGAAATTGGGAGTGAGTCTCAGAAACGGCTGGATTGGTTACAGCTCGGTATTTGCCTTACTTAACACTGTTTGAACAACTGACTGCCTGTCATTGGCCAAAACTCTGTGTAGAATAGATTACTTTCTGGAGGAAGTTGATAAAGGAATAAAAGGAAATTAGGTTACAGTTCAATCGGTATGGAGAAACCTTTAGACCCAAACTTAAATATGCAAGGAGGCAGCTTTAGGCTAAACTTAATTGAACAGCCCTCATGACCTAATCACCTCTTGAAGGTCCCACCTCTCAACCCAGTTTCCAACACTTGAATTTGTGGGAGTTGCATTCAAACCATAGCACTCCCTGGAAAGCTCTTCCCCCAGGGGTCCAGATGGCATAGTCGCTCTCTTCTCAAGTCTTCACTCAAATGTCCCCATATCCATGAGGCCTACTCTGCAACCAACCATGTAAATTTCACCCATCCCTCCTCAACCCCTCACTATTTTTTTGTCTGGTCCTCACTCTGTCACCCAGGCTGGAATGTGATCACAGCTCATCGCAGCCGCAAACTCCTGGCCCAAGCAACCTTCCCACATCAGCCTCCCTAGTAGCTGGAATCAGAGACATGCACCACCATGCTGGCTAATCTGTGTGAGAGAGTGTGTGTGTGTGTATGTGTGTGTATGTTGCCCAGGCTGATCTCAAACTCTTGGGCTCAAGCAACCTTCCTGCCTCGGCCTCCCAAGGTGCTGGGATTACAAGTGTGAACTATGGTGCCCAGCCTCATACACACATTTTATATTCTCTTTCTTTATGTGGCTCTGGATGTTTCACTGATCCCTACTTAACAACTTATTTAGCCAAAAGAGAAGATTTTTGGTCTATTGTGTTCATTGCTATAGCCTTAGTGTCTAAGCAGTGCCTGGTACCCATTAAACACCTATTGAGTGAATGAATACATGAATAAATCAAGCACTGTTCTAGTGGAGGATATGGTGGCAAACAGACAAAAACACCTGCCCCTATCAAGCAAGACAGGTAATAAGGAAATACACACATATGCCAGGTAGTCTAAATGATGGAAAAAGCTGGGGGACAGGGCTTGGGAATGGGGGAGTTTGCTGTTTCTATAGGGGCAGGGAAAACCTCACTGACAAGAGGTCCTGAAGGAAGGGGAAGAAGCATAGCCCACAACCTGAGGGATGGGTTTCCAACCTCCCAAGTCGAGGAAAGGCCAAGTGCAAAGACCCAGAAACTGAGTCTACTGTCCCCCTCCACCAAAAAGCCAGAGGTCAGTGCACTAGTGCAGGAAGAAGCCAGCAACTGGAAGGAAGGGTGGGTATCCAGGCTCCAAGGCACACGGACTGGCAGCTGCAGAGCTGGGAACACAGGGGTGGTTTCTTCTCTGCTCTTTTATCTTGATGAAATTGCCAGGGAAGCTGGCAATTCCTGAGGATGGCTGGGTGGAAAGAGATGATGGAGGTTGGAAGAGAGAGGTCGTGAACTCCGAAAATGTGGTAGGATTCCAAGCAGTGTCCATTTGAGGTCAGCGAGCATGGTTGTGGGTTTTCCTCCAGCCTCAGTCAGCTTAAGGCGGGCAGAGCTGGGTTTCACTAGAACTGGGATTTTACAGGTGGGTGTGATGGAGCGAAAGAGGCTCAGAGAGAGGAAGGTGTAAGAAAGGGAGTGACTATGGGGGGCTGTGACAGGAAGGAGGTGAGAACACAAAGTGGTGTGACATGTTAGAACCTCGGATTGAAGGTCTCAGAGAGTCCACGAATTGCCGAAACTGGGAGTTGCTCCCTAAAGCTAGAAGCAGTCTGAGAAATGTTGGAAATTGAAATCATGACGCTGGAACAGTTTTGAGTAATGTCAGGGTCTAGCAGTGTGACCAGAGATAGTGGATGGCTGAGGTAGAGAGGAGGCCAAGATCCTCAGAGAAAAGACTAACAAGGAAGTGAAGGCAAGTTAATTATGCTATTTAATCAGTTTGTTTAAAAAAAAAAAAAATCAGCTACTAATCACCTTATTGGTGAGCCCTTAAAATTGGCTGCAAATTTTATATATGCAAAATATACACCCAAAAACCTATTTGAAGAGCTGGCTTTACTCAATAGAAAAATAGATGTAATTATTACTATATCAGCTCTTTTCAGTGAATTTAAGTGAATCAGTTTACCTAGAATGAGCCCACCAAGGATCACTGGTATGTTTCGTATTAAAAAGAAATGCTGACGTGGTGCAGTGGCTCA